TTCCCTAACCACTCAATTGTGTTATAATTTGCCTAGAATTTGGTTGCCTCTCCTTACCTCTGAGCAAAGTTTAGTAACAGATGCTGTGCTGAAGTTTCATATTACTAAAGTACTGCGCTCTTTCCTAGTCCACGTTGTAGTAATTACTATGTTAAATCACCTTGAGGAAATACAGGAGCATGATACACTTTCTTATATGTTCTCATTGGGTTTTATTTTGTTTTCTCTGTATTCACAAAAAGTCCATGTATAGGACTTATTTTCCCACTGAGTGTTATCTCAGTCTAATGCATTTCAGTGTGGGCACTTGCTGGACTGTACAGCCCAGCCCCAGACTCTCTAGATAATTTTTGCCTTTTGGGAAAGTCTTGCCACCTTTTCCTATGTACAACGTCCTTGGCACTTCAGTGCGATGTTGAGAATGATTGATTACAATTCACTGAGTTCCTGGAAAACAAGTTGCACTGCCCACTGGTTGCATTTGCAAGATTTGCCCTTTACTTGCCAACCTGGATTGTTTGCTGGGGACTTCTAGTTACTGGCATGAACTGTCAAGGTACGCTTCAAGTCAGAGACAACATTGTAAGTATCTCTAATGGTAGTAGATGTGAACACATGTTAAGATGTCATGTTTGTAGCACAAGCAAAGACTCCTGGAGAATCAGTGACTTTGACTCCCAGGGAGCAAAGCCTGACCGGGTGGTCAAGGGCTGTCAGTGCTGATTTCACCCCCTCTTCCTGGGACTCCGTCCCCGGCTCCTGCGCAGTTGTAAACCACTGTAGTCCATGAAAATGACTCAGATATTGCTTTCAGCCATCTGCCTGAAGCAGCACAACTAACACAGAACTGCAGTAAAAAGAAGAAAAGAAAAAAAATGTTGTTACTTTTGTGATGATGCTTTGTCTTTGGCGATACTTCCAGTTGCAGGGTTGGTAAGCTGCTGCACTTTTTAATGATGGTGTCACACATCTCAACTAATCAAGACATGACATTTTTGTATTTGTTTTTAAAGTATTCTCTTATTAGGTTAGTACTTGATTTGTTTAGATTACGGGACTTTGTGCTGAAGTTTTGCACATCATTTGCCAAAAGAACAGACTCTGCTCTTCTTTCTAAAACAATCTGTTGCATTAGTGGAATTTATATTGTGTCAAAAGCAGGAGTACCTTTTATATCTTAGTGACATTAAATGGTGAGTTGAGTGTCTTGTTTACAACTAGGAAATCGTTTTAGTAAGAACCAACGATGTGCAGCTTAAAGTAAAACTAATAGAATTTTGCTGTTGTGACAGCTCTGAGCTACACATTCACCTCTCTGCAGATATGCTTAGTGGAAATCTAAGAACTCTCACCAAAACTGCTGAAAGGACCATCAGCCAGCAACCTATTTACTTATTCAGCTTGGTGGACTAATGCACTTTCAGGACTTTTATTTAATACATTAATGTAATATTTTCAATTATGTTAATTCTCAGGACTAGGAGCAACTTGGAAGTCTTTAATCAGCAGTAAATCAACAGATACAATAGTTTGTGGCTTATCTGGAGTGTTGATATATTTCAGCTGGTAGTTACAGTGCTTCTGCCCAGAAAGGAAAGATCCAGCGCTCTTTTGTCAGGCAAATTTCCAGTTCAAATTAATGAATATACTCACATGAGCAAAGCAAGTTGATACGGCTTGCTGGAGGGACTGACAGGGCAAATGTGGGTTTTAGTAAAACTTACATTTTTATGTCTTTATGAGGAATATTATTTATTTTCTGTTCTTATTCCCTTTACTGCCTTGGATCAGCAGAGAATGAGAAGCACTGATGTGCTAAATCGGTAAGATTTCACTGTCTTCACTGTTCTTTGCTGTCACTCCTGTTTTCCCCTTCCTGCAAACTGTTAATGTTATCTCAATTTCACAGAGAATAGGAAAGTATCTACAGCATTTGCACAAGGGAAAAATATGCTCAGAAATAGGGCTGTATGGTTTATGTTAGACTACGTTACATTTGGGAGGGTATTATATACTGTCTGCCATCAATTTCCTTTCAAAACTTGGTTTAGAGAAATGGCTTCTAGGAACAGTAGCCACTCTAGGAAATTCTTCTGGACATATTATCTCTCTGAATAAATACAATACAGTGAATAGAGTCCTAAATGAAAAAGGCCAGATTAGCAATGTTGGAGGATTAATTTTTCTGCATGTTAGATACAGCTTCCACTGTGTTAGGGCAAGCTCTCCCATGTGAGCACTCTTGCTGTAGAGATATAACTTTAAAGGAAAAATCTTGTATATGGTAGCTGTGATTGAAAGGCATAGCTGTTCCATAGATTCCCGAATGATGGCTCTGTGGACTCTTCTGTTCATTTCACCATCTTTTTGACTTCTTGCCTCTGGGTTATGGTCCCCTCCCTCCTCTGAGGCTTGTCCCCTTCATCAGTACTGGGGTTTGCACTCCTTCACACTCAACCGCCTTTAATAATCTGGTAGGCTGAGACGTACCAAACTTTATTTCCAGCCGTTTTCCTTCTTTAATCCGTGGGCCACTATTATCTTCTGCCATTTCCAAATCCTGGCCACACGCCATTCTTTTGGCTCTTTTCCCCAGTAGATGTGTCTCTTGTTTCATTTGCTGCCGCATAGCTGGTTGGGTTTGTGCTTCCTGCTGGGACTGTGCCTCCCACTTCCCCCACGTGCACGACGGGAGCAGCAGTGATGAAGGGAAGAGCTGGGATGGCCAAGAGAGGGGACTGGCACAACTGTGGGACTGAATAACAGATAACAACATCTGGAAAAGGGAGAGAGGAGTGAAAAGCTGCGGTGAGTTTTAACACTGCAGAGGCATGATAGACAGATATCAGCTAAGGCTTTGTATTCCGAATGTACCCAGTTTAATTTTTTAAAGTGCATTATTTTAATCTCTATCAGTTTGATCTAAGAGGCTTGAGATCACAGAAGCCAAACCAAGAATATATTAATCCAATGGCTAAATTGACATTAATCTCATATCTATCAGCGCATGGACATGCATGTGTTTCTTGAACAGGACATAGTTACCCACACAAACTTGCTAGAAAATGCTTGGTGATGCTTTGTAGCAAGTAAAACAGCATGAGATGTAGTAATTGACGGCAGTGCCCTGAGAATGTTACAATAAAATGTACCAAAGACACAAAAAACGTAACCACAATATCTTGAATAGCTAGCAACCAAGACAACATAAATGATTTCTCCATGGGATTAAAAATAAATTAATTACAGTACCTAGAAATTGCATTCTGCAACAGCTTCTTCTCTTTTTTTTTTTTAATAAATACAGAATTGCTAAATCTGCAGAGGTCACCAGGGAATGTATTCTTTGCTCTTGCTGTTTGCTGTTAGGAATCTGGGAGATATACTGGTTTACTGCCAGCTGTCTTGCTAAATAGCTAAGCAGCTTGTCTCTTGATTGCAAAAATGGGATGCAGAGTTTTATCTCCTTCTTGGGCCATGCTTGGTGTCCCCATCAATCTGTTACTATTATTTGACTTCATAATATAGAGCAAAAGTTCCTATAAAGTGGTTTTACTACAACAATTTCATATGAAAGTGGCAGCAATACCTAGAAAACTTACAGGAGTTTGATGTGCTATCAGGTGTGGAAATAGGAAGAGTTAGTTTCTGTGTGGGAAGTCTGTCAGAGTCTAAGGATAACACACAAGATGATGAAGCACA